AAACAACCTTTTTGATTTACGTCAATCCTATTTGATGCCCATGTAGGACTTAGGAGGTTGGGAATATCACATCTAAGAATTTCTACCACTGAACATGTAAAGATAGACACGACTGCCCTGGCCTGCATTGTGGAAGGCTACAGGTTTGGTGGAAAGAGCACTGGGCTGGGAGCCAGTAGACTTACGTTCTAGTCTTCTCCCTGCCCCTTTGTGATTTTCGGTAACTCTAGTCACTTCTTTCAGCCTCTTTCCTCATCGTAAATCAAAATAACTGCATTAGACTAAGTAGCCTCTGTCACTTGATTATTCTTCATCTCAGGAGACAGCAGGAAGATGAGGAATATACTACAGGGCAAAGTCCCAACCTACTCTAGGCATTGGACAGGGTGTGGACTTTGGAGCTGGATAGATCTGGGTTCAAGCTCACTCACTTATTAGTGGGGAGGTTCGAGGCTGATTTCTTAACCATCCTGAGCCTCAGTTTTCTTAGCAGTAACATGAGAATAATAGTCCTTGTGTAAGGATGCTGTAGAAATAAGAATAGCATTGAAGAGGCATCTCACAGAAGAAGCAATGTATATGGATGAACTGCACGTGAAAAGATGCTCAGGTTCTCTCTCAGTGAATGAATTAGAACTCAAAATAGTCAGATCCCATTTTACCCATCAAATTGGCAAATATTGAAAGTCTAATAATTCTCAGTGTTGGAGAGAATGTGAGGAGATGGGCATTCTTATCCACTCTTGGTGGGACTACACACTGGAGCAACTATTTTAAAATACCTTTTATTTGGTCAGGTGTGATGGCTCACACCTGTAATCCCAGAACTTTGGGAGGCTAAGGTGTGGGTCACTTGAGGCTAGGAGTCAGACACCAGCCTGGCTAATATGGCGAAACCTCATCTCTACTAAAAATACAATAATAATAATAATTAGTTGGGCATGGTGCATGCCTGTAATCCCAGCCATTCAGGAGGCTGAGGCACAAGAATTGCTCAAATCCAGGAGGTGGAGGTTGCAGTGAGCCAAGATTGTGCCATTGCATTCCACCCTGGGTGACATAGCAAGACACTCTCAAAAAAAAAAAAATAAAAATTCTTCTCAGCCTTTTGGCTGAGAAGATCAGGTGTTAAAACACTGTTTATTTTGAAATAATCTAGATGTAGAGAAGAGTTGCTCAGATAGTTTAGAGAGTTTTGATGTGCTCTTCATTCAGCTTCTCCTAATGCTAGCATTTTATGTCACTATGGTACAATGATAAAAACTAAGAGTATTAACATTGGGACAATATTATTAACAAAGCTACAGACTTCATTTAGATTTTCTCACTTTTTCTACATATGTCCCTTTCTGTTTCAGGATCCAATCCAGACTACCATGTTATGTTAAACTGTATACTTACCTTAGTCACCTCCAAACTGTGACAGTTCCCAGAATTTTCTTGTCTTTTGTGACCTTGACACTTTTTAGAAGTCCTTTTCTGATATTTTATGGAATGTCCCTCAGTTTGGATTTGTCTGATGCTTTCTGATAGTTACAGTGAAGTTATAGAATTTTGGGAGGAGGAGCACAGAGGTGATGTGTCCTTCTCAGTGCATGGTATCAGTGGGTGTGTGGTGATCACTTATTATGGTGATGTTAACCTTGATCACTTGATTTAGGTGATGTGTCAGCTTTATCCATGACAAAGTTAGTATTTTCCTCTTCTTACACTCTGTTAGAAGAGAGTCATTATGTCCCAGCTCACACTCAAGGAGAGGGAAATTAAGGTCCACCTCTAAGGGAGGTGTATCAAAGAATTTGTTAACACATCTCACCACAGTAACTAATAAGTATTTTGAGGAAGATATTTTGAATATGCATTCTGTGTTTTTCTTGAACTTTCACCCATTAATTTTAGCATTCATTGGTGGAGCCTGCCCCTGCTAGTAATTGTTATTGTGCTATTCTAATGGTGATCTTCTATTTCTCTCATTTATTCTACATTTATTTGTTGGAATTATTATTTTTACAGGCAGCATCTTGCTCTATCACCCAGGCTGGAGTGTAATGGCATGATTACAGCTCACTGTAGCTTCAACCTCCTGGGCTCAAGTGATTCTCCCACTTCAGCTTCCTGAGTAGTTGGGACTACAGGCATGTGCTGCCATGTCCAGATATTAGTTGGAGTTTGTTTATCCAATCATTTATTTATTTTATTCTTTGGGATTTAATTCAATAACATTGTATTGGGAGCCCTTTCAGAGTTGCTTGTGTCCTTTGACATGACTCCATACGTTTTTTTGAACACTTTCTTACTTTCTGGTATCACAGGATACTCTTAGTTCATCTTGTATTCTTCTTACTTCAACTCTGGATCAACCATTTCTCCAAGGAGCCCTGGTTTCTTTTGCTGGGAAATGATTTTATAAACCAAAATCTTTCTATTAGATGTGCACACTGCTATTGGGATGTCACTGTTTCTAAGTCCTTTCAGTAGACAGAGATAGAAATGTGATTCTATCTATCATCTATCTATCTGTCTATCTATCTATCTATCTATCTATCTATCTATCTATCTTAGTCTCTTTTGTGATCATCATTAAATGAAATTATGCTGATATCTCTAACACTAATTTAATGCAACAGTGTCTTCTGCCTTTGCTTATTTGTAACTTCTTTGTCCAATAGTGAGAAATTTGCTTCTTATTTCTGTAATATATTGTTTAACCCTAGTATATATGTACAATAGTTTCAGAATCTAACAGTATCCTTTGAGCAAACAAATTTACTAATGAAGACCCAATGTTTGTGTATTTCTCTTTGTCTTTTGCCCCACAGCATCTAGGCAAAACTGCTTTCGGAAGTGATTTAGGTTTGAAGCATTATTTTAAAACTTGAAACCTAAATTTAAAATATACTTATTCTTTGTGCAGACAATGTCATTTTTAGAATTTTATATACTCTGTCAAATGTGTAAAAATATATGTGCAAGAATGTTTGCTGCAGCGTGATTCGTAACTGAAAAAATGGAGAAAAACTAAAATCTCAATTACAAGGGAATCACATTAAATATATTGTGGTGCATAAATATTATAACACATGCATGTAATAAAATGCATTATAGCCAATGAAACGAAATAAAATAATATTTGTAATGATTTGGAAATTGACAAATATAAAACACATTTATTATAGTATGATGTATTTGGTGTAGAAGAATTCTATATATATATATATATATACTTATCAATGGGGAGTGGAATAGAGTTGGGGGAGGTGACTGAGAAAGATTAAAAGACTAATTTTTATTCTCTGTTCTACTCTGTGTTATATGATTTTTTCTTATATGAGTATACATTACTTTTATAAAAGAAAACATTTAAAAGTGAAAAAAAAACTTGAAAAAAGAGGTACAAATGGGTACACAGAGGAGGTTTAATAAATAGTGACTGGTTCCATTTCTGATCTGGTGGAATGAGCTCCTGACTTGTAATTCTACAAATAATAACAATAAATTTTGGGAAAAAACAAACTACAAAAAGCAATGGCTTAAATTCTCTGCAGAGTGAGAAAAATCAGGGAGAATTTGGAAGGGAGTTGAAATTAGAAAACAAGGACTGGTACATGGTAAATTTTCTGTTCTAATGGCTTCAGGCTGAAAACTGCTTGTTATTGAGTTTTGGAGTGACCAAAACTCTGATAGAAAATCTATCACCTTTCTGACCTGAAATGACAGAGGACAGAGCCTGGGGGTGACCACGACCACTGGAACATGTAAAGGTAATCCCAGAAAGAAGAGAGCCAGAAAGGGCAACTATAAGTTCTGTCAGTGAACTCAAAAATCCAAATTGAGGGACACTGGTTAACCCTTGTACCACACATGTGCTTGCAGGTAAGGCTAACAGAACTGAACTGAGATTTGAATTGCTGCCTACTTCAGGCAATTCAATTGAAATTTGAGTCTACCAAGTTGACCGTTTTCTGAAACAATAATATTGGCATTCTTTGGGAGAATATAATAGAGTTTAGAATCTCAATGATATAAAATTCACAGTCTATGGTGCAATCCAAACTAACGTGACATTTGAAGAACCAGAAAAATATGACTTTTCTTTTTTTAATTATTATTATTTTTATTCAACAATATGTTTCTCCATGAAGGCCTAATGATTTTTCTGAAGTGGAAAGACAGTCAATGGAGGTAAGATACCAGATGCTAGAATGATCACATAAGGACTTTGAAGCCACTGTTATAAGCATGGTCAATGAGTTAATGGAAAATATATTTGTATGATTGAAAAGATAGGAAATCTCAACAGAGAAACAGGAAATATAAACAAGAGCCATATGAATTTTCTAGAGCTGAAAAATAGCACATCTGAACTAAAATTTATAGACATAATAGCAGTATGGACCTAATAGCACAATGGAGATGTTTCCCACCACCATAAAAAAAAAAAAAAAGATTCAGTGAATGGAATGGTACATCAACGAATATTATCTAATCTGATGAAGAAAGAGAAAAAAAATGTTAAGTGAACAAAGCACCAGATCTGTAGGACATATGTATGTGTACTTAGAGGCTCAGAGTGGGAGGAGAGAAAGAATGGGGTAGAAAAAATATTTAAAAAAATAGTGGCTGAAAATTTTCCAAATCTGGTGAAAGATATAAATGCATAGATTCAAAAAATGTGGAAACCTCAAGTAGGATAAATGTAAAGAAAATTACATCTAGGTACATTAGAGTGAAACCACTTAAAGTCAAAAAAAAAAAAAAAAAGAGAGAAAATTTGGAAGCATCCAGAGAAAACGACACATGAAATTCTAGGTAACAATAATTTTAATATCCACAGATTTCTCATGAGAAAACATTGAGTCCAGAAAATAGTGGAACACCATCTTTAAAGGTCTAAAGAAGAAGGGAAAAAAACCCTGAAAACCCAAAATTCTGTGTCCAGCAAACATGTTCTTCCAAAAAAAAATAGACATTTATTTATTTATTTTTGACATTTCTCACAGACCTGCACTGGAAGAAAAGCAAAGTATGCTCTTCAAGATGAAAGGAAATTACATAAGAGAGAAACTTGGACCTCTAAGAAAGAATATAGAACATCAGTAATGGTAAATATCTGGGTAAATATATACACATTATTATTATTATTAGAGACAGGGTTTATCTTCTGTTGCCCAGGCTGGAGTGCAGTGGCACACTCTTGGCTCACTACAACCTCCGCCTCCCATTTTCAAGTGATCCTCCTGCTTCAGCCTCCTGAGTAGCTGGGACTACAGGTGTGCACCACCATATTCAGCTAATTTTTGTATTTTTAGTAGAGACAGGGTTTCACCATGTTGGCCAGACTGCTCTCAAATTCCTTATCTCACGTGACCCACCTGTCTCAGCCTCCCAAAGTGCTGGGATTATAGCTGTGAGCCACTGTGCCTGGCCATAAGATTATTTTTTAATCTCAGTTTCCTTAAAATACATATGGCTATTTTGGCTAGGCACAGTGGCTCATGCCTGTAATCCCAGCACTTTGAGAGGCTTAAGCAGGTGGATTTCTTGAGCCCAGGAGTTTGAGAGCAGCCTGGGCAACATGGTGAAATATCGTCTCTACAAAAAATACAAAAATTAGCCAGATGTGGTGGCACATTCCTGTGGACCCAGCAACTTAGGAGGCTAAGGTGGGAGGATCACCTGAGCCTGGGAGGTCAAGGCTGCAGTGAGCTATGATCTTGCCACTGCATTCCAGCCTAGGTAATAGAATGAGACCCTGTCACAAATACATACATACATACATACATACATATGACTCTTTAAAAAAGAAAGCATAGTGTTTCTTGCAAGCTACAGTACATGTGGATGTAATATACATGGCAGTTGCAGCTTAGAGAGTGAGTGCTGTGAGTGGGGTGGGGTGAGGGGTAAATGGAACTGTACAGTTATAAAGCATCCAGATTTTATGGGAAGGGGCACAATATCAACTCTGTGAAAGATTAAGGATGCACACTGTAATCCCTAGTGAAACCTCTAAAAAATAATGCAAATAGTTCTAGCTAAAAAGCCAATAGATACATTAAAATGTAATTCTAGAATATACTGCAATAGTCCAAAGATGGAAGGAAAGTAGGAACAGGGGAACGAAAACCGAGAAGGGATGAACCGATGGTAAGTAATGAAAAGATAGACTTAGTTCCAACCCTATCAACAATTAAATTAAATGTTAATGGACTAAGTAAGCACCCTAATTAATAAATAGTAATTCACATTATTATTACCATCATGATCACTGTAGCCTGCAGAAAGAGTGTGGTCATTTTTTGTTCTGGTTCATCTTTTAGAATATCACTCAGCCCATGAGCATCTAAGGTTTGACTTTGAGTTATCTGCTGCTTCTGGAAAAACTTGTCTCCCAAGCAAGCAGGCAGGGTGCCCCTGAAAAGGCCACCTCTCTGCCCTTTCTGTCCCAGCTGAGTGCCTAGGCTTGAGCTCATCCTTGATGCTTAGAGCAGCACAGAATCAGCACCAGAGAGATATTAGGACTACTGAATCCATCCTGAAAAATGCCTCAGTTTCCCTTGATCAAAATCTATCAACCAAGATTAGTCTCTAAGCAGATTTTTTTTTTTTTTGAGATGGATTTTTGCTGTTGTTGCCCAGGCTGGAGTGCAATGGTGTGATCTTAGCTCACTGCAATCCCTGCCCCCAGGTTCAAGTGGTTCTCCTGCCTCAGCCTCCCAAATAGCTGGGATTACAGGTGCCCACTGTAACAACCATGCCCTGCTGATTTTTTTTTTTTTTTGTAGTTTTAGTAGAAACGGGGTTTCACCATGTTGGCCAGGCTGGTCTCAAACTACCGACCTCAGGTGATCTGCCTGCCCCAGCCTCCCAAAGTGTTGGGATTACAAGCATGAGTCACTGTGCCTGACTCTAAACAAAAATTTAAAGATAATTGATATACACATTATATGTTTTAAAATTCTGTACAAAAAGATTTGCAGTAAAAAGTCAGCCTCCCTCCTATTCTGTATCCTTAAATCAATTTGAAAGTTTTTAATGTGTTTAGCCTGAACCACCTCTTGCAGCGATGGGGCTGGGGTCCTAGAGACACTAACAGCAGGAGCAGTTGGGTTTTACATTCTCTACTCAAGCAGATGTCTGCCTCATGTTCTTTTTTTAGCATTTGAAACCAACTTCCTGGAATCTATGTCCTCGCTATGGCAAGCAATAGTATTCCAGAAAGCTTGTTTTTATAGAAAAAAATTTAGCTAGGCATGGTGGACTGGTCCTGCCAGCTTTGAAAAATACAGAATTTGCATGAAGATGAAAGTCCTTTGTAACTAGGAGTTGAAGGGGTGTGGGTGGGGAATGTACCCAGAAATAGTCTCTGCTGGCTAAATATGAGGATTAAAAAAAGGTTATTGGTAAAACACCATTTAATATTGAAATGGTTTGGGATTTTGTTTTTCTTCAAAGGACGGAAGTGGAGTGGAAATGTGAGAAGGTCATGGACTATGAAATCTAATAGGATTGGTTTTCATCCTAATCCTACCACTAATAGCTTTGGAAAGTCGCCTCTCTAAGCCTTAGTTCTACCATCCGGGAAATGATCCTGGAACAAAGTAAATACTCAACGAATACAGTTTTCTTACCTGACTCTTCCTCTCTGTGTTTTGGTGTTTTCCCATTACCTTATACTGCATAACAAAACATCTCAAAACTTAGTGGATTAAAATAAGCAAAACACTCATTTTGCTCAGTGCACAGGCAGCTTCTGAGATGGCTCCTGGGATTTTCACCCTTGGATAATCCCTTCCTCTGGAGCATGGGATAGATGTCGTGACTCGATTCCAGTGAATAGAAGAGAGAGGGGGAGAGAGGGAAGGAGAGAGAGAGAGAGATACCATATAGAAACGATATCACCTTTTCTAAGCTCACATCAGAAACCACTGAGTCACTTCCACCAGATTTTATTCCTTAGAACAAGTCCCCAAGGGAGCTGAGCAGGATAGTCCAGGGGAACAGAATTAGACTTCACCTTTTGTAGGAGAGTTGTCCAATAGTCAGGAAATCCATGAGGGATCAGAAAGGTTGCTGCGGCAGTTTTTGAAAAATACCATCTGCTGCACTTGGGAAATGCAATCCTCCTGCATCCATTGGTGTCTTCTTCTTGTCATTACTTGCCTTAACATTACTTGACCCTCTTTAGGGGATAGGGTACTTAGGTATGATAATATTTCAGAAAAGTCTTCTTCCTAAACTATTTCACTTCCCAGGGAATCAATATGGCCATAGGCTCTAATGCCTTAGGAATAAGGCCATTCCCCCCTTTTTTTCTTTGAAGACAAATCTAAGTGATGTGCACAATACACTTGGGTAACTCATAGTTTTAATTTTTTGATTTTATTTTTTGAGACAGGGTCTTGCTGTGTCACCCAGGTTGGAGTGCAGTGGTGCAATCACGGCTCACTGAAGCATCCCGGGCTCAAGTGATCCTCCCGCCTCAGCCTCCCAAATAGCTGATACCACAGGCATGTGTCCCCATGCCTGGCTAATTTTTTTGATGTTTTGTAGAGAGGCAGTCTTGCTATGTTGCCTAGGCTGGCCTTGAACTCCTGGGCTCAAGTGATCCTTCCACCTTGGCCACTGCACCTGGCCTAACTCAGTTTTGACAAGGAGGAAGTTGTGAAGCTCAGCTGTTTCTCACTGACTCACTGGAAAGCCACTTGCTTGGTGGCCTATCAGTTCTTTGCATGAACAAATCTGCAAAGACAACGCTTCTGAGAATATCCTGTAATTCTTTTCTTGAAGAGGGAGGGAGAGAGGGAGAAAAAAGGAGAGAGAGAGGCGGGAGAGGGAGTCAGAGCAGAAAAGAAACACAAGTTCAGGTAGGTGAGTGGGATTGAAATGTTAAAAGAAGGAAAAGAATGGAAAACCTAAAACGTAAGAAACCAATGGCCCAATTCCATTCAGAATAAGGAAGTAAGATATAACACTGTCTTTGTTTTGTTTGTTTTGTTTTATTAGAGACAGGGTCTTGCTCTGTTACCCAGGCTACAGTACAGTGGCACAATCATAGCTCACTGGAGTCTTGACCTCTTGGGCTCAAGTAATCCTCCTGCCTCAGCCTTCTGAGTAGCTAAGACTACAGGAGCATACCACACCCAGGTAATTTAAAACAATTTTTGGAGAGATGAGATCTCGCTGTGTTGCCCAGGATGATCTCAAAACCCTGGCCCTCCTGATCACTCCCAAGTGATCCTCATATCTTGGCCTCCTAAAGTTCTGCTATTATAGGTATGAGCCACCATGTCTAGCTAACACTGTTTTTAAAAAACATCTTTATTGAAATACAATTCACATACCATACAATTCACTCATTTAAATTGTACAATTCAATGGTTTTTAGTATGTTCACAAGAGTTGTACAATTTTCAGCACAATTAATTTTAGAGCACTTTTATCGCCCTAAAAAGAAACCCTGCATGGGCACTAGTGTGGTGACCACTCCCCATCTCCCTCCACCCTCTCAGCCCTAGCAACTGCTAATCTACTTTCTGTCTCTATAGATTTGCCTTTTCTGGACATGTCATATAAATGAAATCATTTGATATGTGGTCTTCTGGCTTCTTTCACTTAGCATAATGTTTTTAAAATTTATTTATGTTGTAGTATATATCAACCCTCCCTTCCTTTTTATGGCTGAATGATATTCCATTGCACAGATATGCTACATTTTGTTTATCCATTTATCAGCTGATGAACGTTTGGGTTGTTTATTTTTTGGCTTTATGAATGCTGTTGACACGAACATTCATGTAAATCAGGGATCCTCAACATTTGTCTATAGCAGGGATAGCAGTCCATGGCCTGTTAGGAACCAGGCTGCCCAGCGGAGGTGCGTGGTGAGTGTTGAGTGAAGCTTCGTCTGTATTCACAGCTGCTCATCATTGCTTGCATTACCTCCTGAGCTTCACCTCCTGTTAGATCAGCAGAGGCATTAGACTCATCGGAGCATGAACCCTGTAGAGAGCCAGCGTAGCCCACTCCCTCTGGGGGGATCAGCAGCAAGGCTACTGTGAACTTTGGGTGAACTCCAGAGAAGTGAAACCATAATGGAAGGATGTATATGTCTTGGGGTAGAGCAGATGGGTCTAGAGAGATAACCAGCTTTCACTGACCTTGCTGCAAGATAGTTGTTAGCTGAAGTATGTTAACTGAAGTATGAGAATAATAACCACAGGCTGTTCTAAGTAACTGCACCCTCCCTCTGCTATGTGCTTTGAGAACAAATAAAGTACACTGAGACAGGTCCGGGTCAGCGAGACTGACATCCTTTACCTCCTGGACTACCTGGCCCAGCTTTCTCTATGTTTCTATTTGTGTCTTTATCCCACTGTTCCCTCTTAGGTCTTTGAACCCTTGTGCAGTTTGGGATACAGCGCACACCAGAGAACCCTATTGTGAAGTGCACATGCAAAGGGTCTAAGTTGCACACTCCTTATGAGAATCTAATGTCTGATGATATGTCACTGTCTCCCAACACCCCCGAGAAAACTGTCTAGCTGCAGGAAAACAAGCTCAGGGCTCCCACTGAATCTACATTACGGTGAGTTGTATAATTATTTCATTGTATATTAATGTAATAATAGAAATAAAGTGCACAGTAAGGGTAATGCACTTGAATCATCTTGAAACCATCGCCCCCCCCCAGTCTGTGGAAAAATTGTCTTCCATGAAACTGGTCCCCGGTACCAGAAAGGCTGGGGACCACTGGTGTACAGGATTTTATGTGGGCATTTGTACTTCGGTATATACTTAAGAGTGGAATGGCTGGTTCATAGGGTGACCCTATGTTTAACATTTTGAGAAAATGACACATTGTTTTCCAAAGTGGCTACACTCTCACTAACATATACAAAGGTTCCAATTTCACTATAACCACACCACATTTTCTGTCTTTTTTCTTATAGCCACCCCAGTGGGTGTGAAGTAGTATGTCACTGTGGTTTTGATTTCCGTTCCATAAATAGCTAATGATGTTGGGCATCCTTCCCTGTGCTCACTGGCCATTTATAGATCTTCTTTGAAGAAGTGGCTATTCAGATTCTTTGCCCATTTTTAAATTGGGTTATTTGTCTTTTTCATTATGGAGTTGAAAGAGCTCTTTGTATATTCTGGATCCAAGCTCCTTATGAGATAATATAATTTTCAGATATTTTCTCTTATTCTGAGGGTACTTTCTCTTTCTTGATGGTATTGTTTGTATCACAGAACTTTGTAATTTTAATGCAGTCTATTCATCTATTTTTTCTTTTGTTATTTGTGCTTTTGATGTTGTATCTAAGAAGGTTGTGCTTAACTCAAGGTCATGAAAATTTACTCATATATATTATTCTAAGAGTTTTGTTTTAAATTTTAGCTTACATTTAAGTCTTGGGTCCATTATGAGTTAATTTTTGTGTATGGTGTAAGGAAGGGGTCCAACTTCATTCTCTTTCATGGGGCTATACATAATACTGTTTTTTTACATAATAAAACTTATTAATCAACCTTTTTAATAGTGCTTTTCTAAATGAAGAAAGACAGAGTGGGATCCACTTTCCCCGTAGTTCTACCATATTTTAAACACTAGATTTCCATGACTTCTATTCCTTCTTCACTCCCTATTGGTGTATAATGTGAATATGGGCACATTTCTAAAATTAATAATTGTGTAGAGGGGCTTCAGCTCTTTGTTTTTTTAAAAAAGAGGATTACACTAAGATAGTGATTCTCAACCCTGTCTACTTATTAGAATCACCCACAAGCTTTACAAAACACCTACACCGTAATTCCTTGCCTGGATATTTAATTGACCTGGGGTAGGGTCTGAGTATAGGTATTTTTCCAAGTATCCCAAGTGATCCTATGGTGCAACCAGGATCATAACTCCTGCTCTGGACAGTTTCTTTGGGAGCTTTCCAAATCTATTATCCTATAGTTGTGTGGCAGTTCTGAATAGCAGAAACATGACAGAATATGCCACTCAACCCAAGTGAGCCATCCCCAGGCACCCACACAGCAGAGTACTCTGTGAGTAGCTGGTGTCTGTCTTGGGTTTGACAGGGCGGGTCTTCCCATCTCTTCCAAGAGCAGGTGGCATCATTTCTACCTGGTGCCTGATCTCTGCAGTAGCCTTGAGGGGACCTCTGCAGTCAGTCCAAACCAATGGCCACTGTTCATGGGGCCCTGCTCCAGCCATACTGGCTTCCCCCAGGCACATCTCTTCTCACCCACCTCCCACCTTCACAATGGCTGTTCCCTCTCTCTGAAGCTCTTTCCCTTTCCTTCTTCTCCACTGACTTCCTCTTACCCTCCTCTGGTCTTAACCTAACATCGCTTCCTCAAATAAACCTTTCTTGTCTTCTTTTCTCTCCTTCAGATCCCCTCTTGATAACTTCAGATTGTCACAATGTGATATTCCTTCTTGCCTGCATCCCAACTATGATGAATTATGGGCATAAATATTTATTAGTGTTTTTCCTCACTCAGTTGTAAGACAGTGACCACGTCTGCCTTGGCCACTGTTGTTATTCCTAGTGATAGAACAGTGTCTGTCATCTAGCGAACAATCGAGCAATACGTGAACGACGCTGAAATGTTAAGAAAAGCCTTAACTCTGTTGAGTGCCCGTTCTTAAAGAAGACAGAGCAGTGTGCAACCCATTTACAAAGAGGTTCAGTCAGGAGAAGTTTAAATGGCAACCATTTAGATGTCTCATGGGAATCTTTGCTTCTCCTGAGAATGTCTTCACCAAGAGTTCCTCATTCTCTGGCTGTGCAAGGTTGAGGCAGCATCAGGCTGTGGCTTTGGGAAAAGGAAAGTCACCCTCGTGTAAGTTAAGTCAACCCTTGGAAGTGTATCACATGAATATTTTACCATTTATGAGTGTGAGTTAGGCATGCATTCACTCAATTCACTGGAAATCTGATCGATGCTCAATCCTGCAAAGAACTCCAGAAATCCTTGAGTTTAGTGATTAATTCACTGGACAAGGAGTCATCCCTATTTGTACCTCAATTTCCTCGGAAAATTGAGAGGTTGGACTAGATCACCAAGTGCCCTATTGGGCGTCATCTGCACAGAATTACTTCTCCTCCACTCCATCCATAAGGTTGTGTTAGGAACTATTGTCTCATCCTTATCTCAGATGACAACTGACAGACATGGGGGTGAGCACCCTGGCCCAGGTTGGACCCATCTGTCCCTTTCCTGGACTTCAGGGCAGGGACTAAGAAAAATCTGCCTTGTTCACATTTTTTTTCTACATGTCTTGGAAAAGGTAATCCGAAGAAAGAGAAAGACTGAAGGAACGGAGCTGTGTAGAGCATGAATGATGTGGGGAGAGTGAACCCCCCAATTCCAGTTGTTTCTGAGCCCCAATTCATCCTTGCATTTAGTTTTTTTTTTTTTTTTTGAGATGAAGTCTTGCTCTGTCCCGCCCAGGCTGGACTGCAGTGGTGGGATCTTGGCTCACTGAGCAACCTCTGCCTCCTGGGTTCAAGTGATTCTCCTGCCTCAGTCTCCCAAGTAGCTCCAAGTAGCTACCACACCGGGCTAATTTTTTTTTTTTTTCATATTTTTAGTAGAGACAAGGCTTCACCATATTGGCCAGGCTGGTCTTGAACTCCCAGCCTCAAGTGATCCGCCCATCTTGGCCTCCCAAAGTGACTGCACTTAGTTCCTTACAAACAATTTTCACTGTGCTGAAGCTAGTTTGATTTGGGGTTCTGTTACTTACAGTGAAAATATGAGCATTCATGACTTCAGCATTTGGAGTTCCGAGTATTTATGATCAATATTTGAAACAAGACCTACTTCCTACATTTATTGGTGGCATTAACCAAATAGTTAGAGACCTAGAGAGGCTGACAGCTCCATTATCCTCCGTATTGACAGAAGCCCTCTTGGGTCTTTGGGTCCATTTCCAAGAGATACAGTGCAAGATAATAAAATGAGGAGGGTGGGAACCTGGGAGGTGGTTGGGAACAGAGATCTTACTCTAAGAAGCGCTTTGCCAGTGCAAATGAGGGCAAGGCATTGTTTTCCTTTTCACTGTTGTGTCTCTTGGGCCCCAGACAGGGCCTTGAATAGTGCGTGGCACATGGAGCATTTATAGAATGTGTCCTGTGGGAATGCCCACCTCTCCTCTGATGTTCTAGCATAGAGGGCGCCCACGTTTGTGAGGTGCATTGGTGGCTGCGGGGAGTGGGCAGAATGGAAGACTTGGATCACAATGAAACTGAGGTTTGATGGCAGGAAGATACCCTGGGGTGGGGGTGCTGTGGAAGTGGTGCTTTGTTGCTGCCTCCGGCTCGTGCCTGCTGGCCTCTGTGCCATTGCTTCTGTCATCTCACCTACCACCCCTGGGGACCCTATTTCCTCAAGCCCCTTCCCTCTGTGATGCCTTCGCTGACCACCCCAGCTGGAAGAACTCCTCTCCTCGGTGCTGCTCACATGGCAGTTATTTACATATTGTCTGTCTCGCCTGCTCAGTGGGGAGCTCTCGAAGTACAAGGATGGGATTGTCATCATCAGCACACCCCAAACACCCCCAGAGCCTGCCCCACAGCAGCACTCGGGGCACAACAGCGAATGAGCCCAGGCCTAGACCAGGCTGGCTGACATAGAAGGTTCAGGGAGAAGCTGGGGAAGGTGACTGAGACGTCTGTTTCTGCTGGTCTACTTCATTCTGTCAGTCCATGATTCTCCCAGCATTTAATTTGTGCCCTTTCATTCATTCTCCTGGACTGTTAGTTTACAGTCTTGTTAGGGGTAATTCAGCCACCCCAGGAGTCAATGCCTTGTGGCCTGTTGTGTGACGTGTATGGGCTCCTAGAGACCTCCAGAGGGGTCCACAGGGCACAGAGAAGGGGGCAGTTTCTCCTGCATCCTAAGTCCTGCCTCCCCATGCTCCCTCCCTCTTCAGTGCTGCCCTCCCTCTCTGTACTCTGTAGGGCCATGATTCCTTTTGGGAAAAAGAGCATTAGTTATTGACTTTTTTTTTTTTTTTTTTTTTTTAAACAGGGTCTCTGTTGCCCAGGCTGGAGTGCAGTGTTATGATCTTGGCTCACTGCAGCCTCTGCCTCCTAGGTTCAAGCAAATTCTTCTGCCTTCGCCTCCCGAGGTGCTGAAATTACAGGCACACACCACCACACCTGTCTAATTTTTGTATTTTTAGAAGAGATGGGGTTGGTCAGGCTGATCTTGATCTCCTGACCTCAAGTGATCCTCCTGCCTTGGCCTCCCAAGGTGCTGGGATTACAGGCATGAGCCACTGTGCCTGGCATAGTTTTTTAAAATTCCAGGCTTGAGGTTCCTAGACAATCAGTCAGCTCATAATCTTCCAAGTCGCAAAGTACCCCCCACCCCGCCTGCCAAACACACTTTCAGAAACCCCTGTCTTCCAACAAGATGACCTTGGCTTTCTTTCAGCCTCCTTTGTTGAAGCTGTTGACTGGTATCACCAGGATAAACACAGGCGTGGGCTGACTGCTGGGAGCGGAGGTGCTGGGCCTGATTTAGCTTCTCGACCTTGAGGGGCTAGCTGATGGGGCAGGTT